ACATACTTTCATGTCTCAATCCTTCCGCGACACAGACCTTTTCTGCGGTTCGCGTTCAAAGGACGGGCATATCAGTACAAGGTCCTGCCCTTTGGGCTGTCCCTGTCCCCCCACCATGTCTTCACAAAAGACATGCGGAGGGGGCTCTTGTTCCCCTCCGAGAGCAGGGTGTTCGCATCCTCAACTATCTCGACGATTGGCTCATACTAGCACAGTCTTGGGATCAGTTGTGCGAGCACAGGAATTTGGTGCTCAGGCACCTCAGCCTGTTGGGCCTTCGGGTCAACTGGGAAAAGAGCAAACTCTCCCCGATGCAGAGGATCTCTTTTCTCGGTACAGAGTTGGATTCGGTCGAACAGGGTGCTTGAATTCATTCAAAGGCAGGACGGCGGTCCCACTGAAACAATGTCAGAGGCTCCTGGTGCATATGGCAGCTGCTGCGGCAGTCACGCGCTGGGGCTGCTTCATATGAGACCGCTTCAGCACTGGCTTCATGGCCGAGTTCCGAGGTGGGCGTGGCAGCGCGGAACTCACCTGGTCCAAGTCATACTGGCCTGCCGCCAAACCTTCAGCCCGTGGTTAGACCTCACGTTTCTTCGGGCAGGAGTGCCCCGAGAACAGGTGTCGAGGCATGCTGTGGTACACACGGATGCCTCCACCACCAGCTGGGGGGCCACGTACAATGGGCAAGCAGTCTCGGGGTTGTGGACAGGCCCCCAACTACACTGGCACATCAACTGCCTAAAGTTGCTAGCAGTATGCCTTGCCTTGAACCGTCTCAGAGGGTGCTTACGAGGCAAGCACGTGCTGGTCCGCATGGACAACACTGCGACCGTTGCGTACATCAACCGTCAAGGTCTGCGCTCCCGTCGTATGTCGCAACTCACCTGCCACCTCCTCCTTTGGAGTCAGAAGCATCTGCGGTCGCTTCGTGCCGTTCACATTCCGGGCCTGCACAACCGTGCAGCCGACGAGCTGTCTCGAGCTGCGCTCCCCAGAGAGTGGAGACTCCATCCCCAGACGGTCCAGCTGATTTGGAGACGTTTCGGAGTCGCTCAGGTAGACCTGTTTGCCTCTCCGGAAACCTCTCACTTCCAGCTGTTCTACTCCCTGAACACTCGGCACGGACACACTGGCACACAGCTGGCCTCGGGGCCTACGCAAATATGCGTTTCCCCCAGTGAGTGTGGCGCCCTACTGGCCCACTCGGACCTGGTTCCCGGAACTGACGCTCCTCATGACAGCCCCTCCCTGGCAGATTCCTCTGAGGAAAGATCTACTGACTCAGAGACAGGGCACCCTGTGGCACCCGCGTCCAGACCTCTGGAAACTTCATGTCTGGTCCCTGGATGGGACGTGGAGGTTCTAGGTGACCTACCCCAAGAGGTAGTTGACACCATCACTTCAGCGAGAGCACCGTCTACGAGACACGCTTACGCCTTGAAGTGGAACCTGTTCGTCGAGTGGTGTTCCTCTCATCGAGAGGACCCCTGTAGATGTCCGATCAGAGTCGTGCTCTCCTTCTTGCAGTAATGGTTGGAGCGAAGGCTGTCTCTCTCCACCCTTAAAGTTTACGTCACTGCTATTTCTGCTAACCACTACCCCGTAGAGGGGAGAATGGTGGGGAAGCATGACCTGGTCATCAGGTTCCTTAGGGGGGGCGAGAAGGTTGAACCCTCCTCGTCCTCCCTCTATAACATCTTGGGACCTGTCTCTGGTGCTTGAATAACTACAGCGGGTCCCATTTGAGCCTTTGCAATCAGTTGAGCTGTTGTTTCTTTCAATGAAGACTCTGCTCCTGATTGCATTGGCCTCCATCAAGAGGGTAGGGGACCAGCACGCATTTTCAGTCGACGAATCGTGCCTAGAGTTCGGGCCGGACTGGATAGTGGATGCCATCACCCTGGCTTATCAGGCACAGGGTGTGCCCTGCCCGGTCAGGTTGTGAGCTCACTCTACTAGAAGCATTGCATCCTCCTGGGTGCTGGCTCGTGGCACCTCGCTGACAGATATTTGTAGAGCTGCGGGCTGGGCGACCCCCAACACATTGGCTTGCTAAAACTACTCCAGAGTGTCCGTATTGTAGACCCTGTCGAGCTCCTCCATCCCCTCGGCAGCAAGACGTGGCGGAACATCTGGTGCCAGGCCCTCACTCTATGAATCCTTGAGAACCGGTAGAGGGCTGGGTTCCACATGTAGAGACCTAAGTGGATCCCATATGTGTAAAGTCCACGGTATAGCCTCAGAGCCCGTGTTTCCCCGGCAGACTTCTGCCATTTCCAAGAGGGTTATAATCACCTCTAATCTTCCATATGCACCTAAATGA